TACGACTTCAACCATTCTTTAAAATCGATTGCAACTTTGAGTTTTACCTTCCCAAAAGAATACTCCAAGAATTCACAGGATTGAGCGCAAATATGAATACAAAGGGTTGCTGATTTCAATAGACAACTGAGTAGTAGGCAGCCAAACTTTGAAATGGTCAGATATTCACATCTTTGGAGCTTTTAATACCTACATATAATACCATTTAAACGCACTTGTATGCCTTGGGATGACCTGCATGCTGATCCTCAGATGAATAGCGTTCCTGCTGAGTGGTTTGATCATGCCTGAAATTCGGTGTTTTCCACTTTTTTGCAGGGGACTTCTCATAAGGCATCACAACACATCAAGTCAGATGACACAGTTAAGTCAAGGTCACAGTTTACTGCATGTATTCTGACGAGGTCTTTTGCTCCCCGGATTGAGCCAGCTTGGTTTTACAGCCAACATATCTAGCATCAAACGCATGCAACACAAAAAGAGCTGGCTCTGTAAGTATCTGCTCCCTGTAGACATGTGTTGGAGACATAGTTGAGGCCGTTTTAAACGACGTTGTTTGAGTCCCAACACTCAATGTGGAGCGGAAACCCGGAACAAGTTATCGACGCTGCTTTCGAGTATTTTCCTGTCTACCCGCTATCGACCAGTCTGTCCGAACCATTCGGAACCACATTGGCCCCTGTCAGGACGCCCCCAGACATGAAAAATCACATGTGCAGAGAATAACGCATCGCCAAGGTCACCATGGCTACGACACGTTCCGGACAGCAGGTGCGTTGGCGGAGCTCACCAAACATGTCTTAGCAAAATACGACCAGTGGAGTGGTGCTGACACCGTTCACGACCGGAACACCGCCATTGGCTGTACAGAACGAACACGTGAACGACTGTATTTAGTCCTGATGTCATCCTATATATTTACGCAGAAGCTCCGTGTGTTTTGTGCTGACAGTACAGCCGTCTCCAGGGTCATCTGTATCCTCCTGGCAGGTTCAGTGCAGACAGAACCAATAGACGGCTATCCGCGACACAACAGTACCCTATTATAAGGATGCTTACAAAAACATTGGTCTGTCTGTTCAACCGGATTCTTTGCAGTACACAATTTTCTGTGTTCAAATTGACCGAACCGCACTCGTAGCTCATTCAGGCAGTCCCTGCCAGGACTATGTCATTCCGCATGGAGAAACACGACCATGTTTAAAGCAACAAAGGACTGTCGAGGTCATTTGAAACACCCACGCCTCACAAAAATGTTAACCGTTGTTGGTAAAGGCTTTCTATTAGTCACACTTACTGGATCACTATGACTGGTGCCCTGTGAGGATTTGACACTGCAGTGACATACCTGTGCAGGGTTTTCGAGGGCATCATTAGACCTGGGCCTACCTAGAAACATCCAGTTGCTCTTGGCCGTGAATTGCGTACGAGTCTGCGAACCGCGGCATGTGTTAATGGGCGAGTTTCATAGAGTAAACCCTGAGAGTAGAAACTGATCAACTATTTCATATAGCAGAACAAAAACTTCAGGGATCAAAATCTGACGGGACAAGCTCCAAAGAAGATAGAGGTATGTGTGATTTCTGACACGCGATGCTTTCGAGAGGTTGGAATAATTACACGGTTCTGAAGACGCCTTATCTCCTCAATTTCTCCTCGGCACATCAACTCGGACCTCATCACTTAGAGTAGTTCGCATTTTGGAATACTTCTTGGGAGACAAGTGAAGTAGTTTTTAGAGCTACCTACGGAAAAACTGTATTTGCTGGTGAAATATAATTCAGTAGCATTCAGTAGTATGTTTTATCAGGATCTAATCGCTGTTCGAAATCGCCGAGCAACTGTAATAGACGTCAGCCTAGTCTCGGATGGGCGCGGAGTGACTGTGTGGGATGAGAAGAAGCATAAGTATGGTGCTGATGAATAGTCCCTCGCCCTAATCTCAGCCCTACATGCAATCGGTTGTGATGTCGACTTTTTGTTTCACCAACCGATGATCATCTCTTATCGAGGGATCCGCTTTCCTCAATCCGCTAAGGTTGTTATTGGACTGAGACTTCCTAAGGTCACAGTCAGTGACTTGTGTTTGCTTGCAATGGTGGGCTCTCTGCGTACTTATGACACTTTTATACATGACACATGGCGTTGAATGTACATTTTCGCCATTTAACCTCACACCGGACCCAGTATGACGGACACTTTGTGCTTGATGTGCGAGTTTTGATTGTGCTAGCGCTTACCGCGCCTTGAAGAGCATTCAACATTGTTTGTCCTTTCTTCGGTTGTTAGTCTTTAGACGCGTGTTTCCATACCCTTTCGTATTCGTCACTTGCATTCACTCTTTATGTCTGTGACCATGCTCTTCAAAAATAAGTGATAATTATTTCTTGAATCGTTCCAAATTCCGACTTAAAATGATCAATAACTGGGCGATGTACGCTTCCCCGTTGATGTGAAAATGGTGTGAGCTCAGCGAAGCCAGACGAACTTTCCAAACTATCACTTTTGTACTTCAGGAAACACATTAACCGATCCCCGATCTCTTCATCTGAAATCTGAAATTCAGATAGATTTTTTGCAGGACGTTTGTGGGCAGATTAGCACAGGTAGGTTGTCCATAAATTACTTCCGCACAATCGCGGCAGTCACAAGAATCCACAGGACGATTCAACTGACAACCGTCGATGATATACTGGGAGTAATTCACCCAGGAAACGATGGAAACTCTCGTGGATTTGGTAGATGTGTGAAAAGGTTTGCTCTAATAATCGATATCTCATTCTCAAGCTGTGCAGACATTTCGTCCTGATTGTGAAATATCATGAGTAAAACCTTCAGGTGAGTTGCCCCAAATTCAGGAAACAGCCTTATGAAGGCTGCTTGCTCTTGTCCCTGCCTTACTAGCAGACAACATTGCGTACGGTAGGGATGGGATGCATAAGACCTCTTTCATAATTCGCTGAAACACACTAGAGATGGAGTGGATTAGCCGAGAAAGACCTCCAAATATAGCTAAACTTTTAACTAAAAGTCTATTTGCCAGTCTTCGAACCACTGTGATCATAGTGACACCAAGTTTTCTATCTGGTGTGTAGTCTGACGGATGTGACCCACTGTAATGTACTAATTCCAGACGTCCAGACATATGCATAGGTGACAGACGACAAATCCACTTTATGCAAAGCACTTCCTTCTGTTTCAATACTATGTGCTCCTTGAAATCTCCACCATTCGGCGTCCCGTATATTTCAGAACCGTGTTTATCTCAAAGAACCTAACTTGGTTTCTATGAGTGTAAATCTAATCGGTCCAATCGGTTCACAGTCTGTTCAATCAGCCGTGGTATCTAACAGAGTCATCGTGGTCCTGAATTCTGGGCGCATGTACAAGATCGCCTCAAGGAACGATTGAGATTCTGTTTTTGCGTGCTTTCATAATGACAATGATTGGTGTTCATCGTGTAATGCTCCTGCAAACACTGTTCTAATATGTGGACAGCTGGGAAGTTGAAATAGGTTTTTTAATGCCCTCACAGTTGGTACAGAAAGTCACGGGCTTGGACCAGCTGTTTTGGGAGTGATCGATTCAGCAGACGAACCCAGTATGCCAATCATCCAATTGTTGAGCCACGAGCAGATCAGAGCCGTGCCAGCATCTTTTTCTGAACAACTTCTGTTACCTGAGAAGTACTCACCAAAGGAGCCAGTCATTACGCGACCACGTGATATGCTGAATGACGAGTGGCACTATGTCCTGTCTGAGTGAGAACTAACCATCCTGCGGCCGACCAGTCGCTTGTGGCCAAACGGTCACTGACCAGAAGATTACGGGTTCGAAGCTCTCCGAGTTTCGTAAGCCGCTCACTGATGATGATTCCTAACAAAGCTGTACTTCGCTTCACTGACAGGGTGAATTCGCCGGTGAATATCACCAAAACGCTCCACCTTACTGTTATACTGTAGTAGCACACCTTTCGTATGTGACTATAATATGACTCGGTTCTTTACATCGCCCGGCATGGTTTCGTAATTTCGCTGTCTACTTCAAACCAAGGGAGCAAAATGCTCAAATTTTCTACTTTCTGCCCAATTCTTACCCCTTATAAGGTAAGGTAACCATCATCTGAACGGCAGCTATTTGATCCAAGTCACTCAGGTAACTTCGCTCGAAGCGATCACTTGTATTTAAATTTCGTTGTCTCTTTTTCGCCCGACATTGGCCGTTACCTACGCTGGCTTCACAGCGCTGTAATCTCAAGGTCAACAACCAGGCACTGTTTTCACCAACAGGATGCGACAAGAATTGAGAGTATGAACTATTCAGAATCCTCGAGAGAAAACCCCGTCCGATAGAGGGCCAAGTTCACAAGAGACTGACTCGATTCAGAAGCGTTATGATTATCAGACCAGCACTAAGGGGGTTGGCATGAGTTATTTAGCATAACTGGTGTTCGAAATTTGATAAACGAAACTACTCGCAAGGTTGCTGAAAACTCTTCGACTGCCCACATAAGGTTGACGGAAACTCGGGGACTGCGCCTACTTGATGAGCCCTAAGAAGGGCGAAACCGATCGTGAGTTGTCGAAGATTATTCAGCAACCTTGTGAGTAGTTTCCTTTATGAAACTATACTTCGATATCTCGAATATCGTGCCAATTGAAACATGAGGTGGCCTGTGTGTAGCACATTTAGAATATCATAAATTAGATATTCAGTTGAGTCTCTCGTGACGACCAAATTGATTTGCAAATGGTGGTTGAAATGTTACAGAGTCTACCAGCTGTGGAAACCAAGCACGCTCAGAATGTTGAATCCATTTGTGGTACTTATTTTATTTGCGTGAGGCTCCAGATTGTCAGTAATGAAGAAGGAATCTGTCGGTGCGGCTAAAATTCTGCAAAATGAACTCGTTCTTATGGATAGAACTGTTAGTGCTCTAGTTGTGAGGAAATTAAACTGATTATCAACAGGTAAAAGACACTAACAAATGTCTGTTTTACCAGAATGACGGTGAATACAATAGTTAGGTGCACTTTGATAAATACATGTACAATATGGAAAGTAGAATAAGCCAAAAAGTGACCTATCGTTTGAGGACACTTGTTGAGAGTTCCTGAGTGAAAGTCCGGACGTGGAACCTGTCTTCTTTGCAGTACAGTTGCTGCAGGTGTTCCGTAGGTAGCCGTTGACTTCCTGTCCCGTGTGTGTGTGCTGGAGGGTCCTAGTTGCAGGACTATCTATTGGGTGCACTGTGAAGAGAAGGGTGTCCATTGGCGTTTGGTGGTTGCTGAACATGAATACAACTTGATCTGATGTGTTGAAGGTTATAAGCCTGGCGTGTAACGCAAGTGGTTGCCACGTAAACAAAGATGGATGGAAAATTGTAGTTTGCATGCTGTCGGCGTGAATGTATTGCTATACATCCAAAGGAATTTCGGTAACAAACCTTTGAGTTAGACATGCTACCCATCGGGGTTTCTTGTTTCCAAGTTTCATTTTAGCACCCTAACTTGAATGAGGTTTCTGAGGGCTACTCATTAGTAGTTGACTATCATCCGATGCGGTTTTGTCAGTCGACGACCTCCAAACCACCAGACACCTGCGCACTTTTGGTATGCCACAGTCGGCTAAGCGCTCAGACAAACCTTAAACACAGGTACTAGGACTGTAATGAATGGATCTGTCGTGCTGTCGTAACTGATGCATTTCAGTGAAGCCTGGACATCACCTTCATTGCGTATTGATCGTTAACAATGACACTTTCCAGCAAAGACGTTGGCGGTTCTGGTGCTCACTTGCATGCTGTATTTGTGCTGAAGTCGGCTGACTGAAGGCAACATACCTGTGAATTCTGACACACCCTCCATTCTCATTCCTTCAAGTCTACATTGGTGTCACGTGCTTGAACATAGCAACACCTTCGACCCGTCTCACCCTACAATGGCATGTTAGCTATGCAAAAGCCTCCACTGGTTCAACGGGTGTTAATCACAAAGTGCGTCGTTATACGTTGTGCACATTCTGAACGTGAGAAGCACCTTGGACTCGAAAGGTATCAATCGCTGCTGTATTCCTCTCCTAGCATAGAAAAAGCCCTAGATACAAACCCAGACTTGCGTAAGAAACTACAGTAGTTTGTACGGTTCCTCTTTTGACTTTCAACCATCTCCATAAGCTGTCGGCTTTTCAGCATGGATTGGCTTCACGGACAGGATGAAGCCTCTGTTAAGTATTGCGGGTTATCTCACACGACTGTGTCAGCAAGCAGCTCAGAGGAATTTCATTGGATGTGGGAAGCCTCCAAATGCGAACGAGTCACAGAGTGGTCACGTGATGTGGTTTTCGTGACTGAAGGATGAGTGGTGCTACGTCCTGTCTATGCGATCAGCCACTCATGACCGAACGGCCAGGCGATCACCCACAAGCCGGAAGATCGCGAGTGCAAAACTCTTTGAATTTCGTGAGATGACTCCCAATAAGGATGAAACAGTTGTACACTACTTCGCTCCTCGGCTTCCCAGCATAGACTGGTTTCACTAACAGGATGAAGTCTCCACTGAATGTCGAGAAACCATCCCAAGGTTCTATCGAAATTACACACACACATACACCACATGATGTGAAATTTGAACTCGGCCGTGAAAGCCCGTCACATCCATCTGATGAATCAATGCTTTTAGACTACCGAGCTCACATGGTTTGCTGTTTACAAAATTGCGATCTTTCAAGAATTTCGCAGGAAAGTTGTGTGCAGACACTCAAGTCCGTCTTTCAACTGATTATAGGGATGTTGTCCACCATCAGTTCTGCCCATTGTAGCGACCCAGTCACCCACATACTTGACTGTTCAACTCACTCACGCTCACTGGATCGCGAGGCTTGTCTTTTTCTCACACTCACAAACACGTCGCATTAAGCTGGCTCATCGGACATCGATTGCTGCACCGCCTAGTCAGCGCAGCAACCACTCATGTGCCGACGCGCCCACATACACGCACTGGGACCTACATAAAGGCAAACCGAACCCAGTCAAGACACACAGACTCGCGCGCGCGCAGGGAGCAGGACGTCAACCTCTCCACAAGTCCACGGACAACCATGGAGTACGTGTAGCAGTCGAACTGCGGAGAAAAACACGTTCCCGCCGTCCGGACTTCCACCAAGGGACTCTCGCATCCGATAAGTTCCCTTTTTGACTTGCTCCCATCCTCGCACTGTATTTATTTTCATACGTGTCGCAACCATACAAAAACTTCTATTAGTGCACATTCACCTTCTGATTTGTATTATGACTATCACCAGCTGTGCACTAATACCTTCATGAGGCTCACCAGGTCCTCGAAGTTCTAGTTCCTTCATCAGTTTTATAGCTTAACTAAAAGTACGTAAGTGGAGAATATAAACTCATTTGCAAGTCAATTCAATGTTAATAGGGAAACGATCCGAATGTCAACAAAACTATTGCTCAGTCCAAGGTTGAACTATTGATCATGCAGGTGTCTTCATGTTGGACGGCGTTTCGCAACCCCCTGATTGTGTGTCTCGCATCCCAAAAGAGTGTGCACGCCTCAAGTGACCAAACCAATGTATTCTGATGAGAAGTTCACCATCCACATTTTATTTTTGTGAAATATTGTCGTCACCTGGAAACATGAGGAAATCCGTTGAGATTTTCTTGTCAGTGTGAGGAGTACTGTTATATCTGATTGCTGTCCCGGCTCCAGTGCCTAGTGCCGAAAAAGGGCTCGTCGCGGATAAGAACGCAACAGCGTTTTTGCGAACAAGTGAGTGAGAGAGCGTGACTAAGAAAATACGAGGACATCAAGATATTTTATTGGAGGAACACTGTCTGACCTTGATCCAACGCTGACTGACTCTATCTGGCTTCAATACAACGCTGTCACGCGCTGCATACCTGATCAGCAAAAAGCGGAGTTGAGAGTCTCAGTAGATTTCGGGTATTCATTGGTTACTTCCAAGAGTCTGACCTTCCCGATACAAAAATTGTTTTGGAGGTAACGCACCACGGCGAGTTAAGCTTTCAAATACACGGAGTATTGAATTCCGTGCTGATATTCACTTCACAAGTTTCAAAGGATTTTCAGTCGAGCTTGTGCACTGAGTGAAGTTAACCTGTGCAGAGACGCGGAGAAGCACCGTAGAACTGTTTCAACCCTGTTTTGGATCGTCAGTATTGCGCTTCACATGAACTCACGTTGTCTAGCTTTGATTCTAGATTGTCACGCACTGCATACTGAGGGAGCGCTGTCTGTTTGGTCAGCATCTAGTGGATTTGAGGATCTCAGTAGATTTCGAGCATTCAGTGGTTACTTTCAGGAATCTGACCTTCCTGCCAATTACTTTCACCGGAAAAGTGTGGAACAAGTTCTCCTGAAGGTTCGCAATCTCTTTTGTACGAAAACAATACTATGGATGGTAATCATATTCTCGTAGGATAACTCATGGGATTGAATGTATTCTTTCCACGGTCCAAGAGAACCAGTCCAGTTGACGTAGTGGTTATTCACGACAGTTGCCCCCGATACATCTCTGCCTCATCTTGAAACGTAGACGGGGATGTACTGTGCGTAAAAGCCGTGTGACAATGCATGGTTTCCACGTCATGAGAATCTTACATCAACCCGTGGGGGCTCGGTAGGACTGGAGAGGGGGATTTAACATTTATATCCATCGACAGTCTTTCACTGCGTGCTCCTGTCTGTTAGTTTATGCCGATGGTTTATGTGCATCCTGTGGTCTCCAGGCGGAACATGTGGCAGGCGACACACAGGTAAGTGGAACAAACCGCCTCCATTGTTTACGCATCTTTCTCGGACGTTTGATGAACTTTTAGTCTCCTCACCTCCTGAAAATCGTAACCAAATTTGGCTTGGCTTGAAAGTTTTGGAAAAACGTGTTGTACGGCAGACCTTTGGGATGAGTTGTGGTCCTCTGTTTCACTTGCATTGAATGGGATGCTTGGTGAAACCCCGATAAAACTTCTGAGCAAGCAAATCAAGCCCCCGAGTTCTCCAATTATAAAAATTTCATATGGAAGTTAGGTGCAACTAAATGGCATCAGCCTAACACCGCTTCGATGACGTGATAATTTATGTAGAGGAGAACTCTTCGGTAGACGACAGGTGGGCAGGTGTAGCACATACCCCGACCACCTCGGCCTGCTAAGCTGACTTCGCTACACTGACGCATCACTTTCATTTCAAGTATCCGTATAGGGACTTAGCTAACGTACCGAATAGCTACCCAAAGAAGTTGATGTGCTTTGCTATTGAGGAGAATGTTGGTGGCTCAAGTAGCATAGACGGTCGTTGGTTTGTTCACTGAGCTAGGCAGTTTGATTGCAAACGTTTCATCTGCAATCGAGGTGACATCATCAGCGCGTTGTTAGGAAGCGCAGTGGAGCGTAGCGGTGGGTTGATGGTTGTGCAGTGAACAAACCAACGACCATATACTTTCATACTTAGTTCAGTTCAGTGAGTCAGCTCTTAGATTCGATTCGGCGGCCATCGCTACGCTGCACTAGGCCCGCTAGAAACGCGCTGAGGTTGACACCTCCGTTAGTACCGTATTCGTAATGTGAAACCTTGGGCAATATGTCCATACTCGGTGTATAGTACTGACACATGAATACCAACCGTCTGTTGGATGAGTCTCTCTGGGTCCGGCAAAAAAAAATGAAAATTGTGTGATTGAAAGCTAACAAACAGTTGACAGGATGTCTTTAATTGTTCATCATGGCTAATATGCATTATGAATGGGCTTATTCACATACAAACATGTGGAAAACGGTGGAGTAGTGCAAAGGTAGTGGTGTAACGGTGGATACTACTGATGAGGCGTGCAAGTAGTATGCTCTCTCGTAAATCCACTTCGCGACTCTTGAAAAGTGAGATCCGTTACGGAATTTGTGGAGTCGCTTTGTAGCATTTGCCTGCATTTGAGTAACCGTCAATGAATATCTTGGAAAGTTCAGGGAGACACGTTCAAGGAGGAGATGGATATTCAGTTTTGTAAACAAGATGCATATTAGAATTTCGCTTTCCCGTCCAATAGTCTATAACTGTTTAGTTGGCGTTTCTCCACAGTGAAGGGCTTCTCCCTTTCAGTGGAATAAAACGGAGTTCGTCAAATTCAATCGCTTTCGGGTGGACAGAAGTGGATCGTATAAATGTACTTTGAAAGCTGGTTATCGGAATTACC